CAAAGACGCTTCTTATTTACCAATCAAATTCCTTTTCTTATGGGTGCAAGCATCCTCCCATTTTCCATCAGCACGTATTTTGTCTTGCGGGAAATCTCTACTCGTAAGAATTCGAACCCCGAATGGAAACGGTCTATGGTGGCATGGAAACTTTTATCTCTGAATTGTTACAACTGTTAATCTTAGGAGAGGAGTACAATTGATTATTGGCTCATGCGCTCCAAGCGAACGAAGTTCCTCGATGCTGTCATAAGAAGAGAAAGTCAACTTGGTCCTTCAATGGAATCCCAAGACGAGATCAGTCTTTATTCCTGTTTCGCAGATACAGTGTTTGATGAACATGTTGATTTTGGACAGCTTATATGCAATGAATGGTCTCACCCAGTGGCGTGCCCAAGGGGGGGGGGGGGGTGGTTTGGGGGTCAATTTTAATTTTGCTACAAATACAGGGTGGGTTATCAGTTTTTTCATATGTTAAACGCCCCCCCCCCCTCCCCCCATTAGGGTTGGTAATCAGTGTTTCACATGGCAACCCCCCCCCCTCATTCGGATTTCCTGAGCACGCTACTGGTCTCACCAATCATTCAAGTTGGGATAGTAAGGGAAAAAGATAATCGGGGGCAATCGGGCGAGGAGAGAGAGAGAGTGTGTGTGTGTGTGTGTGCGTGCGTGCGCGTATGTGTGTGCGCGCGCATAAAGAATGAAGAAGTATCTCATACAGAAGGATAACGGAGAAGGGATGCGTGATGGCATGTAAGCCTGCTCTGCCCCCGATCCACCTTTCTCTGTCGCACTCCAATGAAAAAACGATGACCTGATGGATGAGGTCGTGAGATGTGTGCACTCCCTGGTTTTTCACGGAAGATCCCCTCATCGTGATATTCGGGAGTCCCCCTTTCATCACGTCTTTTCATTTTGTTCGTGGCTTGGGTCCAACTTTTCGATGGACGCACTTTCCAATTTTTTATTCCTGTTTCTTGGCCAAATCAATGGTTCAATGCAAAACTAATCCAATTATAGCTTCCTTTTTTTCTATACCTTAACATCCATGAAATATTTATAGATGAAAAAGCTTTCTTTTACGAAAAGAAGACAGCCTGGGTGCACATATAGGTATTGGCTGTTCCTGGAAGACGTTTTGCCGCTGAAATTAAAAAGCCAGCATGTAGATTTCCTCAAAATCAAATTTATTTTAGTTTTGCTACTTTACTTATGAAAATGAAAGTTTTAAAAGTTACGGCAGTTTCAGTTTATTTTTAATAGCTTTAGATATTAAGTAGCGAAAGAGCTGTCTTTTTTTCGGATTTTAAAGAAAGTTGGAGTAATTTCGTGGATATTTCTGAATTTTAGTATGGGGTTTGCCCGAGCAAATAAAAAAGAATCATAGTGAATATTTTTGCATTCACACTAATAGTTCCTGGGATGTTGGGTTACGAAGTTTTTTATACTCAAACGTGCTTCTGTTTGGATCCATCAGCACAAATTCGTCATCTTTTAGTTTTTCCGTTAAATGGGCACGCCCAAGTATAAAAATATATCTGATATTCAACCTTAAAACCGAGACATTATTTTTTATTGGCCTACTTAAAAAACAGTACCTAATACTGTTTGGTGATCTAAAAATTTGGTGATCAAGAAATTTCGGAGGCATATTTTTCATAGGTACCTGGTTTATTATGTTCAATTGGAATCATGTTCAAATTCGGCATACACGTGCTGGATGGCGACATGAAAATAAGTTTAGATAATTTGAGTATCAGTCATCATGCATATCACATCCTGTATTCTTGAAGCAAGCTTTTTCAGCAGGAGCTTCAAATGCTGTATTTGATTACGGGATATCTGCAAAGTTGCCTTCATTTACTGTTTATAGTCTGTCATTCATATGTAGACTCAGCGCGTCTACGTGAATGGATTGATGCGGCGGAGAACATACTGCCATGCCAAAATTCAAGCAAATCTCTTAAATGCTCTCTACGGACTATCTGATCCTTGTGATGAAATTTTTTTCGTGTGAAGGACCGAATAGAGAACTAGTCTTATCTTCGACAAAATTATCTCAAATTTCGCGGGAAGAATGAATATTCCAATGACCGTCTTCTTAAAAATGAGGACACTTTGAATGCGTAGATATACCTTGGTTTTTCCTTACACAAAACCCCAAAACTATGGAATGAATGGAAAAGGGGTCTATATGCACTTAACCAACTATACTTTTTCCCAAACATTCATTTTTGATGGACCACTTTTCCTTTCACCCCATCATATACAGGTATTAGTCATTTGCTCCCCTTGTGTGGCTCAGCTGATGAGATCACTTGAATAGAAGACTCTTGACAGGATTCACGCGAGGTTCCATATCATGCGAACACGGAGGAGGAATTCAGGAGGCTGTACTCATAAATGATGACCTTGGTGATGGCGTGTTAGATTGTTGAACAGACATTGCATACTTGCATACGCATCTCACCAGGCCTTGGACGAAGATGGCCTATATTATGCTGTGTCGTAAAAAAAAAATTTTTTTCGCAGGAGGAATTGGTAATGCCATCCAAAATATGTGGTGAAAAGAGATAGGAAGGTTAGACTTGGGTGTACATTTACTACTGCAGGACTTTACTGACCTAAAAGTGAAATACAGACTTAAAATTGAAATATTCCTCATAGAAATAATTTAATGGCTGTGAGGCTTTGGTTGAATTTGGTTGGTTTCGGTTAAGGTCGTTAGTATGAATACATCCTCATGTTGAAATAGGACGTTTCTGATACGGCCCTCAATATTTACAATCCTTCCTATCGCTTTAGCCGATTTGGTGTTTTGTATTTTTATATGTTTTAGATGGGACAGCGTAATACAGTGTAGGTCGCGACGTGGTTTCCCCCACCGTCACCCGAGACTCCTTTCAGACTTAGGTGTGCCCTGACAATGCATTGATGAGGTAACACACCTGTGGTTGAGCACCTTTTCTGTATTTGGGTTGCCTGCAGGAAGAAAAAGAGAAAAACTAAATCCACACCCGCTCAATCCATTGACTATGTAGGGAAAAGTGGAGTCACGAGCCGGTAATTGAGGGCAATACATCAAAGCCTGAGTCTCCCGTTGCCATTTGTCTTGGTTGATGGGGCGTTTGCAGGCGAAATTTGTCTTCCTCCTGCCATGATCGACAGCTCGAAATAATTGCGCAGTGACTTCATAACGGTGCTTCATCTCAATTTCTTTTCTGGGGATGATGTTGCTAATTGGAGATTTTTTTACTCTGCAAATTTATTCTCGGACCTTCCTTGACTGAATCCATTAAAATTTAAGACTTGAAGAGCTTTATCCTCATACAGGGTGTGCTAAATAGATTAGCATCCTCCTTGCCAGGCAGAAAACTGGATATGTAGGCAAGAAACACGTATATTCCTGAAAACTACTTTCAATTTCGAGTATAAACGCATTCTCCTTTTTTTTCCAAAATGACTGCTTATGAGGATGAAAAAATTTGTCTATTGATCGCATCGAGAAATCACTGTCCGGGAAAACATCTTTTCACTGCCATAAGCAGTCATCTGGCAAAGAAAGGAGAATGTGGTTAGACTTGAGACTGAATGTAGCTTTCTGAAAAAGTTTTTTTAAATCTATTCTGTGGTTTGCCTGGCGGGGTGGGGTGGGGGAGGGTATCAACTTATCCTGTACATGGTGTTTCATCTGGAACACCATTTAAAAGAGAAGTTGCTAAGGGTCTTGGTTAGAAAGATTTGAAGCGTTTGCACTTGCATAGCCGCCTAAAAACGCCCGAGGCTTTTCAGGGTCATGAGGATATTCAAACAGCTTAGCTGCTTGCCAAAAACTTTCAGATAACTTTCATCAGTTGCCTTAATTTTTGCCATTTTGCCAATGCAAAATTATTTGTTCCTGAGACCTTATACATTCACTTTTGCCCTAATTCATTTCGTTTTAACATCATTGTATTCCTGCTTTCCAATGAATTTAGCCTCAGTTCTACCCGAGAAACTTCATGGACAAGAACGGCTGAGGTTTTTCTTCTTCCTCACCTCGCACTAGCTTGAGTCTTAATGACGCTGTAGAACATATGCAATATATGGCAATTTATGGAATGGAAAGCTATATTGGGAAAGGAAGCCTCTTCCATTGACGTGACACGAACTGGCGTTTGCCTTCGTGGAAGTCCCATTTTCGACTCAATGGCTCACAGCTTCTACCATTTTAGTTTGAAGAACATGGAGATGAGGGGAAAATTAAACGTATCACATGCGATAGGAACCAAAATAGGCGTGTTGGACTTTCTATTGGTCTATAGCAGTGGTGCCCAACCCGTGGCCCGCGGGCAAAAAGTGGCCCTCGAGATGCTTACAAGTGGCCCGCGAGGTCCTAGCCCACAATAAATGCCCTCAGGTTTCCTTAAAATAGTCTCCTACAATACTAGTGACTGCATATGGCCCGCGATGGCTGTGGGAGTGAGCTATGTGGCCCCCTAGCCAAGAAGGTTGGACACCGTTGGTCTATAGGGTCCATAATTTTTTGCTTCGTTCGTTTTTCCTGCTATCGCTTCCGGCCAAATATTGCTCTGCTTGGAAAAATCTTTCCGCTGTTTTTGCAGGCAACGTTTCAAAGCGATTTCGAATTGTGCAAACCCAATGCACGTGAAAGATGCTATCTACCTTTTTTGAGGGGAAATGGGAAGTTTGCCCTGATATGTTTTTGCATCATTAACCAGGAAAAGAGCGAGAGTGGGTAGAAGATAATGCCTCTTGTCACCCCTTCTTGGAAGTCCTGTTTTAAACTGATATCTTATCATACAAAAATGCATAAAAGGTTAACCCACATATTAAAATGTCCAAAGGGAGTCATCCTATATTCACGCTTCCAGTAATTGATCAATTCTTTTGACGGTTTATCACACCATTTGTTTACATTGTGTTGACATGTCAACATTCATTAAGTGTCATTTAATTGTTCAACTATTTTTAGGGGGTTTTGCAATGTTTTTGCACAGGAGGAGATGAATCGGGGAAAGCCGAATTGGGAGCATCTGAACGATGATCTTCACGTCCTCATCACAGTCGAAGATTACGAGAACCGAGCCAAAGTCAAACTTCAACGGGCCGTCGAGGAGATAAAGAAACTGCTCGTCCCAGCGGTGAGTTTTTTTTTAATTTTCTATTGGGAGGAGCCATGGGAATGAATTGATGTTGAGAAGGATCAGTTACCGCTGTAAGCTGCTAATCGGCAATATCTAGTAGTAGCTAACCAGTAGGTGAAGCACTGTTTGATATCAGCTTATAATTGATATATCAATCGATTCCATATATCGCCGATATGTAGCCCAATGATCCCTTAATTGTTGGGATAAATCTCGGCCAATATTTCAGACGAAAACGAATCGTTGTGGACCGGCTGTCCATTTAGAAGAGGTTCTCTATTGATCTCGCAACCATCAAATTCTCCAGGAGTGTTCATAAAGGCGATTCATACTGTCAACATTTTTCTTGTGGGAGTAAGTGGGTTTAAAGAATGATGGCTGGTTCGACTAATCATGTCTATATTCCGGAACTGTCTTCACTGAATCCAGTTGTAGATTCCCAGTAAAAAAAAATCATAGTAACATTTGTCCCGTCACAAACTTTCCAGATACTTTTGGGGAAGACATCGTTCCGAATACAGGGAGGTGGCAAAACTAGTACCATCCGATTTTATTTTACCTCCCGGGTCTTTTGAATAGCAAATTATGTTTAGAAAAAGCCCTCATACTTAATGAACTTCGAGTTAAATTCAGGCAATTGTGGCTGCAATTGAAGCTGACAATGGCACCCCCAAAAATGCAAATAGAGGGAAAAACACTTTGAGCCATTTCGTAGGCTAACCTGAGCTAACCTAACATTGTCTCTCATTCACTTTCAAGTGTGCAATAGGCATTGCTTTTTTCAGCTATGAAAAGTTTTCGTTCATTGGTATTGAATTAAATCAGCGGATATGCAACTCGGCGAAAATGAAGTTGGCATAATATTTTTTTTTCTGAAAGCCCAAAGTTGATTGCTGTTTCGGAATGTAGGAATGAATAGCCAAACTAGCCCTATTTATTTAAATATGCTTACTCCTATAAGGAAAAAATTGTCTGTGGGAAACAACTTTATAAGCACTCTTGACGTGAATATGACTTCATCGAGTCAAACATGCCGAAAAGTTTTTATTTCATCTTTAGCTCCAGTTCCTCTCTCAGTAACATGATGTCTCAAGCAGGTGTGAGAGTAAGAATGGGAGTCATCCCAATAGTATAATCCCATCGGGTACGGAAGTTAAAAAGTTACAGTAGCAGGTCAAGGAATCGCATCTGTTAATATCATCAAAATATCGACAGCTGACGAGAAAAGGACCTCCGCCGATATTTTGATGGGGTACAGATGATGAAAACAGTCTAATTCTAGTGGCTAGGCTGATCGACTGGACTTCATTTACGACATCGACCTAATCATCATCCCAACTCTAAACTTGAAGAGAACGCCGAAAAATGTCATGTTCTTGGTAATGGTTATAGGTAGGCACTTGATTGATCCTTCCGTCATGCTCCTATACTTCTCGGGAAGCAAATAGAGTTATGTGGTTCTAACACCCTTTCATATTTTTGGCTTTGACATATTGTGACATATTGCCTTTCCGTTGTGAAAACCCGTAAAAAAAAAATTAATGCAAGATCTAGACTCTCTAAACCGCCGCGCTGTTGAGAATGAAGAGATGCTGTTGAGAACAGCATCTCCCAGAACAGCATCTCCCATCGCAAATTCAAAGGGAGATGAATATGCCATGTGCCGGGAACCTACTTTTTAAAAATATTTATCTATAAAGATAAAAGATTCTGCATCCTCGCCGTCAGGCTGTTTTCAGGGATTTCTTTTTTTCGATGAGGCAAAGAATCCCACGATCGATTACTTGCATGCAAAATGTATTCCTATGTTCAAGTCGCGCCACAATAGGCAAATGCTTATTGAACATTAGCCACAAAGTTACTTACTTCTTACTTCGCAACAGAGATGAACCTTCAAAAAAGACTGTCCCGTCCGCATATGTCCCTGACTGTAGTGATGACATGATTAAAGGATTCTGTCATATAACATATTTTCAAGGAGTTTCTTTGTCTGGAAGGAGTTTCTCTCGGAAGGGTGTGGTACTGGAAGGAGAAACAAGGCAGCTCGCAAGACAAGGCCCTGATGTATGTTTTTAAATGGCAAGAGAAGGGTGGCGTCTCTGATCTGACCGTATTTGGTTAACGTTAAAGAAATACCTCGCAGCTTGATATAGAACGCATTTCATTATTCGTCCTTAGGAGGAAGGGAGGGCGGCGACTGGGCAGATCCTTACCAACATCTCACAGACAGGAAAGAGCTATAATAAAAACTTAGCTTCATTCGGAAGCATAATTTCTTGGAATGTTTTCGTTTCCTAGATGAAAGTGTTGCATGAATGCCTCTCTAGAAATTCTCTATCCCTCAATGTTATGTAGAAATCTTTTGAATTATGTGTAAATATATAGGCATGAATGCTGAAACCTCTGAAACGGTCGGTTTAGAATCCATGGATTTATTTTGGGGAAAAGAGCTCCTCAACCTAAAGATCTGTTTATCTCGCCTAAATCAGATTTCAGCCTTCGGGCCTTAGACTCTTTCCTAGAAAACTTAAAGAAATTTCAAAGAACATCTATAAAATTTCCATAGAGACATTTTATAGAACACTTTCACCTAGGTTGTTGAATTTTTGCATGCCTATCTACAAGTGGCAGACAGATATATGTGCTCAACGACGTGCCGAGTGAGGCAGAATCCTCGTTACTGGGGAAAAATGTGAGGACCGGGTGAGAGAGAGAGCGCAAGATGTATTTCTGGAAGAAACGGGGTGAGAGAGAGAGAGAGAGAGCGAGAGCGAGAGGGGGGGGGGGGGAAGCAAAAAGAAAAAAAAAGAGATAGAGATGAGTGATGTTTCCTCGGATAAGATGTCTTCTTCTATTTGAAGCCAAGTTTGCATCCAACATATCCAGCAACAACTCCCACAGATGTTTCGGCAACAAATGAGATGTTGGCAGCCGCGTTGTTTCCCTCTTTCAAGGCCTGGTTTTTGTTGAAAGTCTGAGTCATCCGGACGCGTACAGGGTTATCACGTAAGCCGCTCTACCTTTAATTTGATGTAATTCCTGAATAAAAGGCGCAGCGAAGATCTATCCCTCAATTTCACTAGACATTCCTTTTCACACAGAATTTGCTATACTTAGTAAACTCACTCGCATTGGTGACAAAAACGCAATGCACTTTTGGCACCTCTTCGTAAAGATGTATCTTGACTCGGTGGAATATGTTCTATCAAATGTCATAGATCTTTTCTTAAATTATATCTTGCAAGAGAGTTCTGCATGGAAAGCAATGTCTTGTGAGTAAAATGAGGAGTCTGAGATATATTTTTTGCACCTTTTGTTCACCTTACTTTAAGTTACACGTGAAGTGACTTAAATGAGTCACCATGCAATGCTTTATCCGCAAATAAATCTTGGACGTACAGCACGTGCGACTGTGCTCATTCATCATGCTAAAATTACTCTTCTCTGATAAATGAGGTAAGGAGAACACCTGTTTTCAACCAGTCATGTCCAGAACAATGCCCGATACTGTTGAATTTATGATTTCAAAACATGTAAATTACTGTGGTGTGGCTTACAAAAACATGAACAATTTTTGACGCTGTGCAGAATAAAGTTTGCGTTTGCTCGACTCCTAAAAAAATTCATTTCCAAATAAAGGTTGTGAACAGGTGCGAGGGTGTTTCCCTGCTGGTACAATCTTGCAGCAGACATGGGTCGATTTCGATGGCATTGTAATTGATATTGATTGCAGTTCTCCAAGTAGTCGATTTCAATTACATGGCAGGAAAAGTTTCAGATGAACTTTGATGATTACGATTATAGCGGTCAAAGGTATTAATATATATCTATTATTTCGGTCAACTGCAATCGATTATGATTAAAATCATAATTGACCCATCACTGTATTTTAAAATTCGCCAAGGCAATAGAGAGGCGCCATTGTTCAGTCGGTGGACCATTTTTGCTATTGAATCATCTGTCCAAGCAGGCTTATCGTGGCTTGTTAATGACACAAAAACAAGAAAAAACGTTTCAGTCGAGGAGGAGTGGCCGTACTTCTATGGTACAGAGATGTTCGGCACACCTGTGCTCCTTTCACTCCAATCTTCTTCTCAACAGTTCTATTGCGTCACCTCGTATTTCTAATTTATTTCATTCCAACCTTTCAGCTTTTGCCGCCATGGATTTCTCTTGTCCCAGCTTCTGAAGCGGAACACTCAATTTTTTCAGTTTTTTTCTTATTTTCTTAGTTCAACACCTTTTCATTTGACTTCGACGCCACTTCATTAGGGAGCTTTACACTGGTGTCGGAGTAACTTTAAAAAGTGCCCACACTAAATTTAACAAAAAGAAGGAAAACAGGCTGAACAAATTTAGGTTCATTAGCGAGCCGCCGGGTAACTTGTTTTTGGACAAATTCTGCTGGTTTTGTCTAAAAGGTAGGGGGACAGGTATTTTGCACCACCCTTTAGAACGAATATTTGGTTGGTTGAAAATTATCGGAAACCAAGTAGAATAAATGAAGTTTTGAGTATTTAAAATGTGATGATGTTTGAAGTAGTAGTATTCCTACGAGCGATGGAAAAAGCTCCGCTCTGAGAAATACAGACGATTGCTTCCAAAGGAAGAATGCCCGCTGCAAAGAGCAAGACAGATTGAGATCCGTCGGCGCCGCTGACCTTGGCGAAAAGCCTTGTAACTGTTGAAGTAAAAACAGCCCGGTCCATATTCATCAATGTGTGGGTGGGGATGAAAATGATGATGAGGTTGAGGACGGTGATATTGCATGCCATCCGTCACCCCAGGTCTCCTCATCTCCATTAGCACGGTCCCGTGAAGAGGAAAGAGGAAAAATAAGGCCTGCTGAATCTCTTGTGGGCCACCCAAGGACCTCTCTTCCCATGTATAATCATGATAATTGAGACGCCCACGGTATCCCCATGTTGGGTATGATGCAAGGGGATTCTCAGCTGGGTTGTTCCGTGCAAGCTGCTGTTTGTTGCGTTGCCCGAGGA